ACATTCGTTCTTCGTCTTTTACTTTTTCACTTGAGATTATATTCCTTTCATCTGATCCCTTCTCAACGTTTATATATATATATATATCATAAATTTTGGGACTTCCAATTGGCAATAATTCAATAGAGAACGGTAAAAGTAATTACGTTACGTTTTTTTTTCCGTCACCTGTTTTATTTCCTTTCTTTCTTTCTTTTTCTTTTTTCTTTTTTTTTTGTTTTCCCTCGATTAGCCCTTAGACCGTGAAAGCCTACAAGTTTTTGCAATTAGAAGGCCGTTACCGGAAGGGCCGATTCACGGCTCGTTAAACCTAAAGCATCCTTCACCAAACACTCTCTTTCTCTCTCTCTCTCTCTCTCTCTCTCTCTCTCTCTCTCTTTCTGTCTCTGTCTTTCTCACTGCCTTTCTCTCTCTCTTTTTAATTCGGCTACTAACTCGGACCGATTTGTTCTAAGTTGGTCGATGAGGGACAGTTCCACCAATTTCCGTTGAGCTCGCCAATCATAGAAAGCCGGATCAGGTTCCAGCCTTCCAATTCTCGATATCAAGTGTCGTTGGATGTGTTCGGCTTGTAACCAAGATTTTTTCTTTGTAGGAATAGATGTATCTCACGGAAGTTTGGCCGATCTACGTCATTACGTTGCCAACATTCACGCATCAGCTCGTAGATCTCCTTAGGACAGTTCTTCGGAAGTGGAAGTATCATCTGTAAAAGATAAGAGACGAGGGTGCCAAAGGCTCGGCTAACTTTGGCTAAACTGTCGTTAACTATTGAAAGGGTGAACCTATGTGACTTGTTTGTCGAACGTCTTCTGGAAAATTTATATGTCATTAAGATCGATTAATCCAAACATTTTACTACTATATATATATATGTACCGATAGATGCTAATGAACTGACATAATTTAATTCGACTTATATTTTTAACAAAATAGAATATTTTTATGTTATGGTCAATTGGTAACAAGATTATATTATGATAATTATATATTTGTATGTTTCAATATTATTTGATTATATACATATATACATATACAGATACATATACATACATATATATATATATATAATTATTATATATATATAATATATTATATATATAATTATTATAATATTTATTATATATATTCATTAATCATATATATATATATATATATATATAATCATTAATTTATATAAATATTTTAACAATTTATATAAATAAATATGTATATATATATATATGTGTGTGTGTGTGTGTAAATATAGAGGAATGATTTTATTTTTTAATATTATTAATATTAATCTAAATTTGAGATTTTTGAAAATAACTTGGAACGAATAATATTTTGCCTGATATTATTCTTTCTTTACTGTTACACCATTTTCTCAATAAAGTCTTTTATCTGTTGACTTGTGAAAAAAACAAAAAGAAGAAAAAAATAATAAAAGTTGGAGTTAAACTGGACGTTCGTAAAAATATATAACGATGGTAGAAAATAAAGTTTGTAATGTAAAGTTTCTTTTGATCAAGAAAGAATGAAAGAAAGAAAAAGAAAGAAAGAGATAGAGAAAGAAAGAAAGAAAGAAAAAGAGATAGAGAGAAAGAAAAAGAAAGAGAAAGAGAGACAGAGAGACAGATAAAGAGAGAGTTATCTTAAAGGTTAGATGCTTTTCCACTACTTACTCGTCTCTCGTCCTCTTGGTAAAAATACGTCGCGTTCTCGACCACCCGATGATCCGGAAGTTCTTCAAAGGGTTGCTCCCTGGCAAAGGTTAAAATTTCCCAGAGCGTGACGGCGAACGCCCAGACGTCGCTCTTCGACGTGTGCCTTCCCTAATTAGCGTGAAACATAAGACACAAACGACCTGTGAGATACTTCACAAATCATTTTCTACTTTAAGTTGAGTGGAAACTACCGAAGAAATTTTTTCTACCGCAAACAGTGAACGAGAGAAAACTAGTTTCGCGTTTCTTTTTTTTTCTCTTTTTTTTTTCTTTTTTTTTTTTTGTTCTTCCTTTTTCTTTTTTCCCTTCTTTTCTCTTGTTTTTTTTTTGTTTTTTTCTTTTTTTTTTTTTTTTTTCAACATTACCTTTGCTCGTTAAAACTCATGTAATCACATTTTTATTTTGTTGTAAAATGTTATTTACGTTATAATTACATATACGTACGGTTGTTCCATGAAAGTTTTTAGACGATCTTAAAAATCAATTATCCTCTTTCGAGACGTTTTACGTTAATTGTCTTTTTCTTCTTACTTTTATTCGTTTTTTTTTTTTTTTCTTTTTTTTTTTTATTATTAATTTATTTATTTTATTTCTCTTTGCATATTATAAAACGACAGGTGCGGAAACTTTTCTTTTTTGCAATCTGACAGAAAAGTGCAAGTTGGCCTGAAAACTTTCGAAAAAAGAAAAAACAGAAAAAAGAAACAGAAAAAACAAAGTGTAATTGATTTTTAAGATCATTCAAAAAAAAAAAAAAACTCGTGTATTTATCCCCAATCTAAGAACTTTCGATTTATCCCTTTACTATATAACTTTTAATTGTATTTAAACGTTAATTCGATTGACATTTAATTTCTATTTTATTATGGGCTATTGATTTATCGTTTGTTAATACGAAATGTTTGTTTGATACACTATAATCAGAAATAATATCTATAACATAAATATATATAACATATATATATATAAACTATTATTATTGTTAAAGGATATTTATATATACATACATATATATATATATATAAAAAAAAGAAAAAAATTAATACACAAATGTCTGAGGGTTTGTATGAAATTTAACGGCTTCGTAATTAATTATGTAAACTGTACATACTACATCTCGCGTCTCGAGTTCGAGGAAACTAGAAAGTCTCCGAGTGTCTTGGAGTTAGAGCAAAGTGCTTCGTAGAACGTAACTGGTAAAATGGTTACGTATTAGTGCGCTCTAACTTCGTCTATTGTATCTTATTTTACGAGGTGCTTCCTATTTAATAAAAAAAAAAAAAAAAAAGAAAAAAAAAAAAAAAAAAAAAAATAGAAACAAAACAAAACGAAATGAGAAAGCAATCAACGAAAAAGAAGAAATCACGTAATACCACTTTTATATAATCGTGAATCGTATTCATTTTTCTTTTTTTTCTTTTTGTTCTTTCTTTCTTTTTCTTCCTCTTTCTTCTTCTTCTTCTTCTTCTTCTTCTTCTTCATTTTTAATAACGATAAAGATCGTGTCCACAATTTGTCTCGAGCTAAAAGAGATAATATATTCGTTTGAAGGAAAAAAAAGAAAAAGAAAAAAAAAACAAAGACAGTTCCAAACATCCGATCGAATTTTCCAATCCATTTCTTTTCTCTTCTCCCTTTTCTTTTCTTTTTATGAATTTTTTTTTTTTTCTTTTTTTCACGTCTCCTACCCCTTCGAAATAGGTAAATAGGTAGGTATACGTTTGCACATGAAAAAGATTTAAGAGACTTAAGAGAAAACAGGAGGAGAATTCACGGCGAGGATTTTTCGAGTTTGCCAGGCGGCGTAAAGTCGAGATATTGCGCGGGGAGCAATATTTCAATGTTCCATGTAAGAGAGAAAGCGAGTGAGAGAGAGAGAGAGAAAGAGAAAGAGAGAGAGAGAGAGAGAGAGAGGAGGGACAAAGAGAGGGAGAAAGAACGTTTCGTTCTTTTGTCAAAGGATTAATAAACTTTATGAAGTCATATAGTTGGACGTTCGTCTCTACAAGTATCGGATGCGATAAAGTCAACGTTCAATCATCAAAACGACGCTAATTTCAGATTATTCTTGAAGCGGTATTTCGAGCGTATTAAACGGACGCGTTTCATTAGCGCCGGCACAATAGGCACCCTCGGATAAACGATGAGCAATAATGAAGCGTTAATGACGCAGTCAATTTTAAACGGCTATGCGAACTGGAGCGGTCAAGTACTATATACAGTAACTATATCCACGATTTTCGTCCTCATTTCTATTTCCCATTTCTTCTATCATCAATTTAAATCTATCGATTATTTCAAATTGTCTATCGATTCTTTTTCTTTTTTTTTTCTTTTTCTTTTTCCTTCTTTTCAACTTTTGAATCTTTTCTTTTTCCTTTTCTTTTTCTTTCTTTTTTTCTTCCTTTACCATAAAAAAAGAGGAGGAAAATATATATATATATATATATATATATATCCAAATATATACGATCGATATCAATACGGAACACGTATCCTTTTCAGGAATCTATTAACGATTTCGTAACCATGTTAAAAATCCGTCAGTTTCAACTTTTCATTCGACGCTTTTGTAATTTCATCGAATCCCCGTTCTCATTCATTGCATTTTATAGATCCTTTTCAATATACGCAGGTACTATTTACTTGTCGATATGTTAAAAATAACGTTCGATTTGTCATACATACATACATACGTACATACATATATAGATATATATATATATATATATGTATATGTATATGTATATATATATATATATATATATTTCGTTTTGGCGATTAACGAAAGGTATTGAACTTTCGAATGATATGTAACATAAAAAAATCGAATATATAGTACAGTGGCACAACATCGTTATTTTTAATCGTCTCGATCGTTTATATAATATCCACCGAGATATCGATAAGCGATCGCCTTAGCAATAGTTTCGCGTTTGCTCGTGGAAATAACGTATTACTATTTTAAAAGTTTTGTCTTCTTATCCGAGGATAAAGAGAAAGAAAGGAGGAAGAGAAAGAAAGAGAAAGAAAGAGAGAGAGAGAGAGAGAGAGAGAGAGAGAGAAAAGTTGAAAGAAAGAAAAAGGAAAAATAAAAAAAAAAAAAAAAAAAAAGAAAGAAACGAGAAAAAAGAAAATTAAAAAAGATCATCGAGTGAAAAAATATTCAAAGTAAACCGAATTTCATCGGGAATACGAGGAATACGTATTCAGGATTCGGGGCGAAAGCACACCTCCGTAACGGCGGAATGAAATCAAAACTGCTCTCAACCCGTTTTATATAACTGGACTACCCTCTTTTTCCACCTTTCGCATCACAGGATATAAAGTCGTTTTCGCCCGATCGGGTTCTCTTGCACTTTTCTCTCCTTTTTCATTTTTTTTTCCCCCTTTTTTTTCCCCCTACTTTTTTATTTTTTATTCTTTGCCTCTCTCTCTCTCTCTCTCTCTCTCTCTTTTCTTCACCCAAGTCTTTCTCTCATTGTTAAATTATTTTTGATCTCTTATAACATTTCCCATTTAAATTTTTTTTATCGTAAAAAAGAAAATGATGATGCTAAGCTAGATAATCGTAAAATTATTTTCAATATGACGAAACAACGATCAGTGAAAAGAGAGAAAGAGAGAGAGAGAGAGAGAGAGAGAGAGAGAGAGAGAGAGAGGGAAAAGGAGAAAAAGAAAAAAATCACATATGAGCCGACGATCGTGAAAGTGATCCATCTAATCGTATCAATGTTAATTTATCATGTCGAGATTGATTTTGAAAGATATCAGATATCAATTTGAATTCTTTCAAAATCATTTTTTTTTTTCCCCATAACAGATATGACAAATTATACTCTTCTTTTTTTTTTTTTTTTTTTTTTTTTTTATTCTCGAGAAAAAATTAATTCTATTATATTTCGTCCAATTGAAAGATTTTACGTGGTGACGCTGAGTAGAGTTTTATTTTAAAAAAGAAAAAAAAATAATAAAAAGAATATGTCTTTCAATAATTTAAATAATTTATAATAGTTTCATGATTTATTAATATTATACGTTAATTATTAATTCTTACCATTAACATGGATTCCCAAGCCATCCATCTTATGGGTAACGGTGGCCGACCTTCGATTCGGAAATAATCAGCAGCGTATGCGCTCCTTCCTGAACCTAAATCGGATATCTTGATGGTATAATTTTGACATACCAGACAATTCCTGTAAAAATACAGAATAAATATTCCATAGAATAATATATTTAAACGATACATTCTATCTATCTATCTATCTTTCTTTCTTTTCTTTTCATTTCTTTTCTTTTTCATTTTTCTTTATTTTTTTTTTTTCCCCCTCTTTTATTTCCATACGAGTTTTAACTGCGAAACATGAAAAGGAGATCAAGAAAAATATGCATGGCAAACGTTCACGAAACTTATCTAAAGAGAACGGATTTCTCTCCAATTCTCTTTTTCCGATTTCGAGAACTCGATGAAACGAACTCTCGAGACAGCCTTTACATCGTTGTTCAAAGTTTCTTCTTTCTGATTTGCAACGTAAAATCCAGGTCGTTTATCGTCTCGCCTATTTATTTCGGAAGAAGAAAGATAGCAAAAGGGAGAAAGAGAGAGAGAGAGAGAGAGAGAGCGAGAGAGAAGGAGAGAACTAGAGGGAGATAGAGGGAGAGAGAGAGAGAGAGCGCGAGATAGAAGGAGAGAGATAGAGGGAGATAGAGGGAGAGAGAGAGAGAAAGAGAGATTTAGTAGCTACTACCATCACCCAGTCATTTTATTGTTCTATGTTTTTATTTCATACTCTCACGAAAGTAATACGTTCTCACTACAATTCTATTCTCTGCTCTCTATTCTCAGCTCTGCTCTTAACTTTTTTTATATCCGTAAAAATATAAAAATCAGAATCAAGTATATTCCATAGCCTGATCTTTGCTATTCTCATTTCTTTTAACTCATTATTACTATTTATAAAAATATATCCATTATTGATACCTTCTTCAAATGTCTCGTATTTAAAAATTTAAAACATTTTCGTTCATAGTAATATATCTGTTACTTTTCATTTGTAATTCTCCCTTTCTTTCTTTCTCTTTCTTCCTTTTTCTTTCTCAATGTCGTATTATCTAACAATTTAATTATTATTTATTCTGTAATATAAATTGGACATTTGAGATGGAATAAAGCGAACTACGTACTTTCATTGTTCTTTATGTTTCTCTTCAGAAAAAATTAAAGGACGAACTTTATACGAAAAAAAAAAAAGAAAAGCTTGGTCGATTATATATATATATATATATATATATATATATATATATATATATTCTCGGGATGAATTTCGATAAAAAGAAAATAAAAAAAAAAAAAAAAGAAAAGAAAACAAAAGAAAGGAAAGATATCAACAACGAAGAAAATAATACAGATTCTATATACGTAATAATTTGTTAATTTGGCCGATAAATTTCTTTCGATAATTAATATCTACAAATTAAAGATTCTAATGAATCTTTATTCCTTATTATAATACTTATCAGAAGTTTAAACTTGTGTGCCCTTAGTGTAATACGTCTTAATATCGTAGACAAGTTTCTCCCGACAAAGACATTACGATCAAGGTTTATGATCGGAGTTAATAATTCGAACACGTGACGTCGGGCCGATGTCGGCCAAAACACCCTTTCTTGAATTTAATGACGTAGTGTCAGCTTGGCTCAAAGTCTTGATGCGACCTTAAGGACCGTAAGGGTTAGGAAAATAGGAAGAGGGGTCGAAGAAACGTAAAGCTAACTAATTTCCCCTTTG